AATCTTGCAAATAATAATTTGTAGGGCTGGCATCATGATAAACGCGAACTGTCTCGTATTGCCCCGCTGTCTCATTTTGCCCCGCGTTACCCTACATGGGCGTAGAGTACTCAAATTTTCAAGGGGGGCAAAAAATTAGAGGTTCGATTTTTTTGAGAAATATGTCTACTGTCCAGTGTTTATTATTATTTTTTTTTTTTGATATTTAAATAAAAAATGATAACTTTGATTTTGATTAACTAGCATCAAGAAATTTACTTGGTTTCCAAATAAAACATTCTACAGCGCGTTGGTTTTTTTCAAAAAAACTTATCTAACATAAAATCCATTTCAAGACTTCGGGTAATTTCTTTATGGGTATTAATTACAAAAACAGCGTACAGCCTTTCCTGGCTCATGGTCAATTAAAGAAAAGTTTTTAATCTATGGAGACTACTAAATAATTGTTCTGCTGTACAAGTTGATACTGGCTAGACCATTATTATTTTAATAAAAAGGACAATTTCCGAGGCAATTCTTTTTAATCCAATTTGTTCTTTAGCGCGGATCTAGAGCTAATTGAAAATCTTCCAATAAAACTTTTTTCTGTTAGGTTCGTCAATGAAATGGTCCCGGTGAAGTTGCAGTCTTTGATAATTAGGAAAATTGTTCTTTTAGAAGTTATTTATGTAGTTAATTTCAGTGTTATTTGATCCAATTACAAACTCTTCAATCCTTGTTAAATGACGAGTAGTTTCAGTTGATTCAAATCTATCGGTGAGGCTAACTAAAACTGCTCTAAACTCTAAACCGGTAAAGTGTAACTTCTTATAGATCTCATTTGGATCCTTTAGCTGATAATAAGTATCCTTGAAGCCGACTTCAAATCTTGCAGGTATTGTCCTTTTCCTGGGCAGAGCTGGTTCGTTTGAACCCATCATTTTAGCAGATTCAGTTGCTGCATCGGAAAATGTTTTCAAACGTGAGTACGCAAAGTTCTCAAAGTTTGTTTCAGGGTCTGAATGATCAGCCTTACTAAATATGAGTTAACTTCCCTGAATTTAAATGCTTGAACCTTCTAGGATTGTAAAAATGATTCCAATTTATGAAAGGTGTCAAAAACCTGAAAAGAAGACAAAAAGGCCATTGCTTCCACTTGGCATTTGGTAAAGTCAGGGTTGGTGGTAAGGTCTTCCAGCCAAACGTGAAGTTTTCTGTAGAAAACCTCTGTAAGAAGTCATAAGAAGTCAGCAGTTACTGGTAATAGATATTAGAGATAACTTGCGCATTATCCATCTGGTTGGGCTGGTTTAAATGATGTTCCAACTTGGTTTTGGTTTGGTTAGGTTGGTTTAAATGATGTTCCCATCTAGTTTAAATGTTCCAATTTAGTGTCGATTTTTGCTTTCATTTTGGTCTTTTAGGCTTAAAAACCAAGCAAACCTCATTGGTGAGCCTCTGGTAAAAGCTATGAACGTTTGAACGATATTTTGACATGATACTTTCTATATCGTAAAAATTACTTTAAAGCACTAGTATACAGCGTGAAACAAATCTTAAATTGAGATCAAAAGACAATCTAAAGTTTTATTTTATCAAAAAAATGCATTTATATGAAAAAATTAAACTACGTTTTTAAGTTTTTATCTTAAAAACAATTTTTTTGGGTATGTTTAAAGCAAAAGATGATTTCTTTTTTTTGCTTTTTAATTGATTTCTTTCTCTAATTTCTTCCTCTGTTTAAAAATAAAAAATTGAATTAATATTTATTCAAAAGACATCTGAAGTTTTATTTTATTGAAAAAACTTTTTTTTATATGAAAAAATTAAACTACTTTTTCAAGTTTTTTCTTAAAAAATCTTTTTTGGAGTATGTTTATAGCAAAGGATTATTTCTTTTTTCTTTTTTTTACGGAAAAAAACTATATTTCTTTCTCTAATTTTTTCCTCTGTTGAAAAATAAAAAATTGAAATAATATTTATTATAATATTAGATAAAATTTCAAGGTGGACAAATGAATTTTCAAGGGGGCAAGGTTAACTCAAGATAGGGCAGCCTGCCTCTGTTGCACCCCATACTCTACGCCTATGATGATGATGATGATGATGATGATGATGATATATATTTTATATACATATATATATATATATATATATATATATATATATATATATATATATATATATATATATATATATATATATAATTTAAATATGTATATATATATTATATGTTTTATATACATATATATATATATATATATATATATATATATATATATATATATATATATATATTTATATATATATATATATATATATATATATATATATATATTTATATATATATATATATAATTTAAATATGTATATATATATTATATGTTTTATATATATATATATATATATATATATATATATATATATATATATATATATATATATATAATTTAAATATGTATATATATATATATATATTATATGTTTTATATACATATATATATATATATATATATATATATATATATATATATATATATATATATATATATATATATATATATTTATATATAATTTAAATATGTATATATATATATTATTTGTTTTATATACATATATATATATTATATGTTTTACATACATATATATATATATATATATATATATATATATATTTATATCCGTTTACGGATATAAAATTTTAACCTCCGTTTACGGAGGTTAATATTTAAGTAATGTTATACCGTTTATTTTATTTTATAGCATATTTTGCCCCCTGATACTTTTTTTTTTCGTTTGCTCGAAAAAATATATTCCATGAAGTTGTTCAGCAAACTTAGAGTTTGCGAAAAGGTCTAATTAAAAACACGTTTGAGATTTTTATGTATGTATGTATGTATGTATGTATGTATGTATGTATGTATGTATGTATGTATGTATGTATGTATGTATGTATGTATGTATGTATGTATGTATGTACGTTTGTATGCAGAGCCTGCGCGAAAAAAGTTTTTTTTTTTAAGGGGAGGGGGGTATGGCGGAGGGTTAGAGGGTATGGGTATAAGTAGAAAAAAATGCCGATTTTTTTTCTCTTGTTTAAGAAAAACTATGGTATTTTTTCAACCAGATAATTGATTCTTAGTTTAATTAAAGATAGATTATACTTTGTTTTTTTAAGTCATTTATGTTTTAAATCAATTATGTTTTAAATCAATTATGTTTTAAATAAGTTATGTATCTTTGTAAGTATTAAAAAGCATCAAGCTTTGTAGTGGATCAACGTGCATTGTGGATCTGAAATAAATTATAATCAATTTTAATTTGATGAGTTTTTGCTTATTTGATGACATAGCCGGCTATGAGAAGGCCATAAGGACCATGGCTTTCGCAGTTAAATTAATCGTAATATTTTGTTTATAGTTGGCAAAAATTTTACGTGCATTTCTTATACATTAAAAATTTCTCATAAAATAGCAATGCCTTTGTAACAAGAAACCAACACTAAAAACTCAGAATAACTTTCATCATAATCACTTATTATAGATGTATCACAACCTGCGTGAGATAATTTTATAATTTTTTTTCAAAATAATCTATTTAAAGTATCTGGGGCTTAACGGTGCTTTTAATAAAATGAATAATGGCTCAATAGTACACTTTTTCAAATGCTCATATGATAATTTAAAAGTTAATAAAATAAATAAAAGTTATCAAAAAACTTTTCCGAACTCTCATTTGTAAAATTTAAGAAAATTAAATATCGTCTGAATATATATGGACTCTATAAATTCTTTTAAAATCAGATTTAGAATTAATGCCTAATTGAAGCGCTTAATTTATTGCGCTAAGTTATCCATGGTCAGGTAGTCAACATAAATACTGCAAAAAATCTCAGTTCAACTGTTTAGCAACTTAAGTGCATCACAATGTTAAGGTCTTTATGTTAATTTTCGTTTTGTGTATAATATTTTTCATAAAATACAAAAATACTAAGAACTCAAATGTTAGCATTTTTAAAAAATAATCCTAAAGCTTGAGTTCTTGTCTAAATCTAACTATCGGCCAGTTGACGTTTCTACAACGTTTCTACAACGGTATTTATAATTAATACTAATTAAACTCATACAAATTTTGTTAATTAGGCTCGAGCTTGTCATCTTATTTCAGATAAATTACAGAGTTATTAGATTATAGAGAATTTATAAAACTTTTCTGCAAACGTCTATATCTTTTTGTACACAGAACACAGAAAATAAATATAATCTAACTAGAATACTGGCATCGTAGCGGTGTTCAAGGAATATATTAATTCTATGGCCCTAGCATGGTGTAAATGGAATTAAGCAATAAAGAATATCAAATTTTTGTTGTGTACCATTTACTTTGCCAGACATAATACTGTATGTTTTATATCATACATACATGCCTAAAATATGTTTTCTTTTATAATCATCGTCAAATATGATATTACACTCACGACTTACCAATTTTGTTCTCTTTCTTTTTTTTGTTTTTTTGTTTTTATTTATATTCATTGTAACCTCTAACAAAAATAAATCTGCACTTTAATAAAACTGTTCTGAAAACAAATAAAAAAGCAGTATAATCCAATTAATGTAATTTGTAAAAAACAATGTCGCCACATTTATATCTAATTACACTTTACTTCAAACCGGATTTAAATGCATTTTGTTTATCATCATCTGTTCCTACCGCTCTTTTAATCGATTTCACTTGCTAAAGTGCCTATAGAATGTTGTTTTGTACTGAGCAACATTTTATAACTGAAACGGTTTCAAACCATTTGCTATTTTTTATTACGAAACTTAACTCTAAAAATAATGTATAAAATGTCATTTCCAAAACGGAATTCATTTTGAATTGCCGACTAAGGAAACTCAACTCTTTTTTTGCCAACTAGTATTAAGTGTTTTAAAAAAATTATATAAAAGTTAGAAAATATTTAAATCATTGATTTATATTTACAATATAACTATTGCTAGATAGTGAATTTTTACTAGAATGTTGACACTCATGTCTTTCCTCTTCGGTATTGGGAGATCATTTGGTATGGATTTATAGCTTTGTTTGGAATAGTCGGCAATGGTGTGGTGATGATGGTCATGATTCTTAATAAAAACATCAAGTTTACTGTGTTTAATTTTACAATATTTCTTTTGGCAACAACCGATTTTATGGTATCTTTTATTGGATTACCAAATTACATTTTATCGACTAACGTGTTTAACCATCCCAAAGGGTTTAAAGGAGACTTACTCTGCAAATTGTTTACTGGATATTTTTGGGCGTTCTTTTTTTTAGACGTGTCAGTGTTTTTCCTTGTTTATTTAGCGATCGAAAGGCGAAAAGCAATTGTAGATCCTTTTGGTTGTCGAGATAATAAACTAAACAAAAAAAATCTATCAATATTTTTTTTTATGGTAATTTTAGCTTTAGCGCTCGAATATGCCACAATTAACGGAATGGCTTACGACGCGGTAAACAATACGGTCGGAAATTTTTGTAAGTTCAAATATTCCTCGTTGCAGTCAGTTTATGTTTATTTATTTGTGTTTATTCTTGAAACAATAGTACCAGTTGTTATTTTGTTATTGTGTTATCATCAAACAATTTCATCAATAAAAAGAAGTAACGTTTTTTTGACAGCCAACAGTGCATGTGATAAGCGAAGAAGCTTAAAGATCCTGGGAAGTAGGTTAAAATCAGTGCAAACATTAAAAATAGTAAACATAGCATTTTTTGTGTGTGTGGTGCCGAATAATTTATTTTATTTTCTGTATCATTTAGGTGTGAACTTACATTGGAACTCTGTAATTTATCAAATTGCTGTTTTAATTCGTTTTTCTAATGCTTGTATTAATCCTTTTATATATAGTTTTAAAAGCAAACAGTTCAAAAAAAACTTTTGGTTTGTATATAATACTCATCTGAGACGGAAATCGAAATAAGGATTAGTAATACAAACGTAATATTTTGCCGTTTTTTATTTTATACACTTTTTAAATGCTACTACAAGCTACTTTACTACGAGTTTTTTTATAGTTATGTTGAAAGATTATATTTTATATATTAAAAATTATATTTTATATATTAAAGATTATATTTTATATATTGAAGATTATATTTTATATATTTAAGATTATATTTTATATATTAAAGATTATATTTTATATATTAAAGAATATTGTTATTAAATGTTATCAATTATCGGAGACTAATAGTATTGAAAATAAAATATTAATGATATTTTAATAAAATATTAATATTACTCTGTTTTCGAATTGTGAAATTATGAAATACATAATACATAATGTAAATTTTTCTGTGTAATTATCTATGTAATTATCTGTGTAAATATCGAATTGCCTGTAAATAGTATCTTTCATACGCCAAGCTATTCAGTCGTTTGCTCAACATCACAAAAATATACCCAAGTTCTTACAGGATATAGAGTCAACGGATATAGAGTCAATTTAGCTACAAAGAATGAAAAAAAATTTCAATCTTTGTTGCTAAATTTTCTAATACGGAAATTTCCGTGGTATTAATAACTGATAATAAATATAACATGTTGAACTGCCATTAGTGAAGAATTTTAAAAGTTATTTTTGTGTACACATTTATCTCCAAAAAGATGTTCTGAAGTTTCACCTGCAAGGCTAAAAAAGTTCATCAGGCATTTTACTAATAAACTGTTCTGTTCTTTTTAATTTTAAAATTACATAAACTTAAAATTATATGAACTAGGTCCTTGGACTGCTTAGAACGAGATTATGTTTAGTAGGATTCTTGACACAAGATTTCTGCATTCTAAATTCAATTTTGAGTGATTTTAAGTTTGTGTAAGTGCAATCACATAACATGTTATATATAAAATGAATCATTTCAAAGCCAGGGGAAAGGTTCACATGTTAAATTATTATATTTTAACATGTGAACTTTTTCCCGGACATATTTTAAATATGTAGCTTAAAAAATTGCGCTACTTAAGCACTAATGATTCTTTATGATAAGACGAATGAATTTCTGATTGTTTTAAAAACTTTTTATAACAATTTACGTTTTTATTATTATTTAATTACAATAACTTAATAAAAAAATATTTATGTTATCTACAAGTAAACATTAAAAAAATAAATTTAAAAACAAATTTATAAAGATTACCCCAGAAATTACAACTATGATAAGAATACATTACTAAATTTATTTATAATATTCATGCAGGGTAGTAAAATTCTATATAAAGTTCTATATCTGCTATTATTTTTCTATATTGTTTCTCATTGTTTTTAGAGAAGTTTTGATCAGCTCACTAAAAGATTTTATAAATTGTATGTAAAACTAGATCGGTTTTACATACAATACACCTATCCAACTGAATCTGTGCTAATACCTCTAGAGGTATTAGCACAGGAATCTGTGCTAATACCTCTAGAGGTATTAGCACAGGAATCTGTACTAATACCTCTCAAAACTAAAAAGTTCAATTTTGTACAAAGTTTATTTAAACTCCTTCTTGGCTTTATGTTAGCAATGGTAGGTGTTCTATCTACAAAATCCATTGAACATACACACTGTTGCATGGATTCCATTTTTTTTATTTTTACCTTCCCTTTTTAATAAAACTTTTCACTTTTCTCTAGAATTTTTTTTTAAGAACTTGGAAAACAGTACAGATTGAATGGAAGATTACAATTATATTGATTTTTTTTCAAATCTTCATGAACATTATATTTTTGTAATTGCTTATGTTTCGAAAAAAAAGGCTAATAAGTTTGGAATGCGTTTTTTTTTCTCCAGCAAGTCTAGGGTCAGGAATCCCTCCCCTTCCTCAACCTTTTCAGAGCAGGCTTAACACTTGTAGTAATGGATTTTGTTTAGTCGCTAAAATCTTAAATTTTGTTTATTTTTATTAGATAAACCACTGTTTTAGTTAATAATTTAAAATGTTTATAAGTTAGTTAAGTGGTCATGACCTCCTAGGTGTCTATTTGATAGATGTTTAGAACAATCATGTTTAGGGGTCATCCATGTATTACGTACGCAGCAAGAGGTTAGGTGTCCTAAGTTGTGTAATTTGCGTACGTTAGGGGTGGATGACTGATGTTCAACAAATGTATGTACGTAAATTAAAAAAATTGAGATGTCAGTTCACGTTCACTTGCCAATTAGTCAAAGACGATTGTTGCCCACGTTCATGGCCTGCTAAGGTTATAAAAGTTGAACAGCGCAAAAAAATAGTGATCACGTTTGCAAGGGTGAATGAAAAAAACAGCACAAAATTAATTCTAAATAAATTAATATTAATGTTAACTTATTTCTAGAAATTAAACTTACTAATGCTTCAAGTTTTAATAAGATTAAAACCATGAGGAGGGGGGGGGGGGGGAGGGGGTATAAAAATGTAGTTATGTCAAATCAAGATTCTTTACAAAAGACTGCAATATTGAAGCCTGGGAACAAAAAAAGGGCCAAAATATTGGCCTCCCTGGCCTAAACTTAAGAGCAACAAGTTGCACTTTCCTAGATCCTTTCTGATACAGTACTAATAATTATATGTAACGAACTATGAAAAAATTTACTTCGCGTTGAATAACTTTCCTAACAATATATTATGCTTACAAGTCCAAAGGGAATACATTTTTTTATTATGTCGTATTTCCCACTTAACCATAGAGTAACTTTAACCATAGAGGCCCGTAACTTGAAATATTTTTGCGAAGAGGGGAAAGGGGAGGGGGGAACTTTTAAAAAAAGACCACTTTATAATAGCAAATAAATATATTACTTGATTTTTATAACATAATTTATGCGATACAGAAGATAAGTGTTAGAAGGAGAGGGCAATTGCTGCAAAAAGGGGCGTCAACCTCCCCGCACGTTCGACCTCGAAATGCCGGGATTGATATTGGACAATCCTGGGATTTCGCGAGTATAAATAAGTAACAGCCATATAATATCGACACAACAATTTTTTTGCTAAAACCACTGTTTTATTTGATTCTTTATAATGTATGTAAGCTAGTTTACTTAATATATACATATGGAATGTGTTATAAATAAAAAGTTTTTTTAAATATATGTATATAAATAAAATTTTTGCAAAAAATTCATGCTGGAGCATAATTTTTTGTATTTTTTAATAATTTCATTAATTTTATAAATTAAATTTTGAAGTTTGAAATTTTTAGAGGGGAGAAGAAGGGGGTTATTACCCCCATGCCCCCCCCCCCCCATATGTATCCGCCATTATTTTGACATAGTTGTCACTTTTGAAGTTGGGAGGAGGAGGGGAGGGCTGAAACGCAAATTAAGGGGAGCTGAAGCAGCCGGAATCAAAATTTGAATGGAAAAAACAGAAATTTCCAGAAATGTAGCCATATTTTTCTTTCCTTATCAAATAAAAAACAACTGCCATACATTGTCACGGTGGAAATCTTTATGAAGCCTGTGCTAAATACTAATGAGGCAGTCCAAGAACGATATTAATGATAAATATTAAAAAATCTTTTCACTAAGTTAAATGCAGTAATCAGTTATCTTATTAGATAGTTGGTTATCTGAAGAGGACAGTATTAAACAATAGCAAATGGTTTTCCCAATCATTCTCGCTTTCAGACATTTACAACATATTGATGACACAAGCCATAAACTGTGGTTGATAATAAGTTAAATAATCACTTTAGGCAGTTTACATAACAAGTTTAATCCAATTTCTAATTATTTGACAAAGCTTAGTGTTAAATAAAAATTGTGCTCAAATAATATTTATAGTAATAGTCTATAAATTTACACTTGATTTCTTCCTATTTGTTATTGTCAAATTTTATATGTTCAATAAAACTTCCATGAGGTGTCCACACCATAAAATATGAATGATGGTGCCTTGTAACAGCCATTTGCACAAGGCATTACATATAATAGGCATGATTTTTGTTTAAAGAAATACCAACACCATTTTTAAAAAAATATGGAAGTTTTACACTCGGATCAATTGGAGACAAGTAGTTTATAGAAAATGGGCATTTAACTTCAAGACATGCAGGTGGACAACACAAACAAGTAATAACACGATCAGGACTACCGCCAATGAAAGGAATATCTCTATCTAAAATTAACCCACAATCATGCATTGCTACACCTTTATGATTGATTTAAAAAACTTCATAAAAACAGTTAACAGCATTCTGTTCCATTTCCCTGCCATACTTAGTTGCAGGTATGTTTGAATTTACAAATGACATGCCAGATATACGTTGATTTAATTACCACATATCGGCATCAAGTTTATTTAATTTGTTCATTTTTGTCCAAACATCATAACTTTTTGAAGCTGTTATAACACTTTTTCTATATTCATACCAGTATTTGTTTTTATTTTGTCCTATGGTCAACTGCTTAATTTCTTCAATATTTTTAAGCGTCATATGAAGTGTAATATTTTTTTCAAATGAGAATACATCTTTTAAAATTATCAGTATATCATTAACACTTATTAAGTTTGATTGGTAAGTACTTATGTTGTTTACTACTTTCATACTAAAGTCAATATCTAGTTTAGGGATAGCATTAAGTCTTTTAACGCTTTTGCAACATCCTGAAGATTAAGTTTACTAGAATAATTAGAAATTGGATTAAATTTTTTATACAAATGGTCTATTTTTTTTTACAATGTTGAGAAAAATTTTCTCTGCTAAAATCTAGATTTTTAATTTTAACAGGTAAAACATCTTTTCAATTTGGAAGCCATTGATTTGAAACCATTGTGCAAGCCGGATTTGTTAAGCACATTCTTACAGCAGCTTCAATTCTAAACATTGCTGCAGCGACATGGTTACATGTTTGGCTCATTCCTGCCATATATGTACAGTGGCAAGATCAGATTTTTGCATTTTCTTTTTCTGTAATCAACCACAGTTTATGGATTGTGTCATTGATACGTTGTGAATGTCTGCATTCATCTTTTATTGCACAAAATCGACTTTCCTCACTTATACAGTGAAATGCGAGTTTTTGAAGCTAGCCTGTTTTATAAAAACTAAAAGCTTTCGAATTTTTATAATC